CCAAATATGGTAATATGAGTTACAACAGCATTTGATTTCTCTTTGGAATCAACTAAGATCTTTTGAATTTGTAGCTGGTTTTTCCAGCCAAACGTGTTCAAAAGCAGACAAATCTGGCAACACAGAAAGCAGGCCGGTGGGTCTCAACTGTTTCCAAAAACAGCAGTAGAGTTTTTGAAAAAAATTAAAATAAAAAACACCCGGGTTTTTTTCCTGCGATAACTTAATGTTTGTCCTGGAATATGAGATGTTTCAAAAACCTGCAGAATGCCAAGTCCCTCCGCGCCGTCACCTAGCAACCCTAGCGGAACTCCACCCGTTACCTAGCAACCTAGTCTGAGTTCCAGGACAGTTGGTCAGCTGGTTTTACAGCTAAATGCACTTTACAATGCGCTGTATGTTTGTATAATAGTGCATCTGTTTGCAGCTATTTTCATGCGAGTGTAAACATTGAGTTGGGGGGCATGGCCAGCAGCAGAATATTTGGATTTAAAGTGACAGAGACCCTAAAACTGTTCATTCTGAAAGGAGCTCTGAACTGAGCAGACTAAAATCTCATTATCCAAGAAGGATTTTTGTGAGAAAAATGAAATGAACGTGTTTTGTATAGGCCATAAACCTATTCTAACCTGTTCAAGGAAGAATAATAGGCCACCTTTAAGATAATCTACCTAGCAGAAATCAACTGGTTTGCTTGTACGCCTCCCAGAAAAGGAAGCATATCAGGCTGGTGTGTCAACAGATTTACGTCCCCCACAACTTGATTGAACGCACGAATGATTAGCGGTGATGCAAACCGGAAGGCTCAGTGAGATATGAATCATCCTCCTCATCATCAGCTGCTTCAGAGCGATGGCAGAGATGATGGAGGAGCTTAGAGCATGAGGCTTGGATTAGACTCTCCTCGGCTCGCTGTGCTCTCTCTTCTGTCCTTTCTTTGTTTTGTCTCTCAGCCTTTGTTTTTCTCGCTCGTCTCTCTTGGCATCGATCTTCCTGCTTGTTCATTCAGTGCTAATCCGTGCCCCACTGATCTATTTTAGAAATTTCTTGAGATTCAGAGAAAACAAACTCACATTTAGCAGGAAAACTGAAGCGTACGGAAGACCAGAAGGGCCATTAATAAATAAAGAAAAAAATACATACATGCAAACAAACCTGTGTGTCTTCAAATCTAATATGAAAACTTAAAAACAATTCATAATAAGCAGCATTGTATAAAAGTTTCACAAACAATTAAACAAAAAGCATTGTAATTATGCATGAACAAATATTTTTTAAATGTCTTTTTGGGACTATTTATTATTTTCTTGGAAGTGAGCAGCACATTTCAAGAAATATTTTATTGCATTTTTTTCCTGCAGACCATCAGAAGTTATGATTTAATGTAGGACTGAAACAATTAATCATATTGATTATTTATATAATTGTCAAATCATTTAGTATTCGACTAACTGGACACGGAAAATGCCATTTGCTAAAACATGACATTCAGAGCAGTATTTTATGGAAAATTCATATACTTTGCATTTAGGATAAAATATGTTTATAAATATGTTCCACCCAGAACTCCTCAGGTGGTAGTTTTAGCTTCACCTGGTTGAAAATCTGTGAAAGACAAATCTCTTTTTAAGCATCAGTTAATCCAAAAATATTAACATATCAGCTCTACACTGAATTGATACAAAGTAAAGGAAAAAGGGCTGAGCTTTTGAGAATTATTTCATCTGCAGATTCATCCTGTCCTACAGATCAAATAAAGGAATGCTATGATGTTGCATTTTAGGCAATAAACTGTTTATTTTCTTATTTTAAAAAGGGATTGAATCATTTGTTTATTTGCATATTTCAATGTATTTTTAGTATTTTATTTAAAAAAGGCTTCAATGAAAAATCTGCAGCATGTGTCAGTTTTTTAAATGTCTTCCAGTTCCAGTGTTACATGTTCATTGTAATTTCAAGTTATTGGTCTTTGTGAATGTGTTCTTGCATTGTTGTGCTATTACTGTTATATTACTTAAAAATGGTTTCAAAACAACAATATTATCGTTTATCGCAATAACTTCTGGGACAATTTATTGTCCAGTAAAATTCAAGTACTGCATTGTATCAGTGAATACTCCACAGAAGATAACATTTTCAAATAAATATGCCACCAGGAGGAGTATGGAGCGTAAACTCACTCTAAAATCTAATTAAAACTGTCAGAATTAGACAAAAGTCATAACAAAATAAAATAAACTATAATAAAAAAAACCTCAGAACTATTATAACCTTTGTTCTCCTCATTAAGAAGCAAACTGAGCCTCAAATGTCTGTTGTGTTAAAGAAAACTCAGTCATGATGGAGACATAACGGCTTGTCCTCGTCCTCCCCCCTAATTTTGCTTTAATGCAGAAGTTGACAGCCTGCTGGACAGCGCTGTAATTACGCTGTCTCACAATTAGGCAGGCTGTGATTCATTCAAGTTAAACACCTTTTAGCTCTCCCACTGCTTTCCCCACTCTGCATCATCTCTCCTCCCATTCTCTTCATCACCTCACAGCTTCTCTTCTTTTTTCCTCCTGCTCTCCATCTGTAGATCTGTTTTCTTTCTTTGGCTTTTGGACACAAAGCGATATTGTGTAATCAACATGTTCTGTTTCACAGAAACATGTTGTGAGGAAAAACAAAAAAAAAAGAAGATATTTAAAGAAATGATTACTGAGAGTGAGAGCAGGACTATGGTGTGCCATTTGTAAAGTAACAGAGTGACAATTTAACAGCAATAATTAAATTAGCATGCTAAATATTACACTCCAAACCAAATATAGTTAGACTGTCATAAGAGAAAAAAATAGATTATTTTTCAAAGTCATATTTTCACCATGTTATTCATTCGTTAATAAATATCACAGTTTTAAACAAAATATTGAATTAGGAATATAAACATTTAGTTTACAAACTAAACATTTAGTTCCAAATTATCATTAACTTTAAACTAAATGTTTAGTTTACAAGCTAAAGACATTAGTTCCAAACTAAACATTTTATTTTGCAAGCTGGCTTGCTAATTAAACATTCTTTAATTATTAGAAAGCTAAATATTTACTGAGCAAAGTAAATATTTAGTTTTGTAAACAAAATAAGCATTGTTTACAAACTATATATTTAGCTATCAACCTGAATATTTAGTTTGAACCTAAATATATTTAGCTGGTAGACTAAATGTTTGGTTTTAATACTTATTTAGTCTGCTCATATTTACTAAATATTTAATTAATTGCCAGCTAAATATTCAATCAAAGCTAAATATTTAATATTTCACTTGCTAAATATTAAAATATTAAAACATTGAGAAAATATGACTTTGAAAAATGAAATTATATTGGATTTTTTTTCTCTTATGTTTGGCTAAACAACCCACATATTTGGTGCTAATTCATGGCAGGATGCAAAGCATTCTGTTCTTTATTATTTCTGTTTAAAAAAAGGAACCGTCTTCATGTCCTTTACGTCTCAGCGCCCAGCAGCCAACAGGCTCTCATGCTCGGTGGTGTGGAGTACGGTTTGGGTCTGGCACAGAGAGGCAGAGACGAAGGAAATCAATAGCCATCGACATGCAACACTGCATCAGGGCTGCTTCTGCCCAGAGAGAGGAAGGGAAAGCGATGCATGGATGAGCGAGGAGAAACTGAGAGAATGAAGCTGCGATAGAGACAAAAGGTGTGCTTGATGTAATCAGAGAATAACCTGAGGCGGGGACAGAAAGGCAGGTGATAAAAAACAATCAGAACTTTAAAAAGATGCTGCGACGCCACCATAAAAACACATCAAACTCAGTGAGAGAAATTATTTTATTATATTAAAGTTCAACTTAACATTTCTGCAGTTTCACCATCATATTTCAGCTCTGTAGTAAAAAAAATATCTCCTCTATAGCTCAACTATTGTGATAAAATGATAATTATCATCTGGAATAAACAATAAAATCCAGAAACAGATGAAGTATGTTCTGTTAGAGCAAAAGAAAACTTATTATTGGTTCATATAAGGACTACGCCTGTCACAATTGGCAATAAATCAATTAATCGCATGATAAATTAAAGCAAGTTTAATAATTTCTATTTGCATGATTTATCCATCCATCCATCCATCCATCCATCCATCCATCCATCCATCCATCCATCCATCCATCCATCCATCCATCCATCCATTTTCTGAACACCCTTGTCCCTCAGTGGGGTCGGGAGGGGAGCTGGGGCCTATCTCCAGCTAACGTTCCGGGCGAGAAGCGGGGTACATCCTGGACAGGTCGCCAGTCTGTCGCAGGCATGATTTATCGTTTTTCTCTTTTCTCTCTCTTTTTACCAAAACCTGGATGATAAAAGTCTTCAGTCTAGTGGTTTGGTCTCATCTAGTTAGTTTTTTTAAAGGACAATTTTGTTTATAAAGATTTTATAATTAATTTTATCTGTTGTTGGATATTTAAAATGTTTCCAGTTCACCATTGACTATGAACAGTTTAAATAAAAATACACTATCACTTTCCTGAAAGACAAAATACAAAAACTACCTTGCCTCCACATTTATCAACACACCCAGTAAGAGAAATGTCAAAACATAAAATGTTATATTTTAGTTTACGTTGTTCCTGGTGTTGAACACAGCAAAGACTAGATATTGTTAATGACAATAATAAATGATGTAATATTATAGTGTCTTCTCTAGTTAATTTGCATTATCTTTATCTACAAAGTATAGTGCTGGAAAAGAGAAAAAACTGCACAAAAGATTGTTTATTTTGCTAAAATCAAATGTAATTGGCAGCCCTGACAGTCTGGAAAAGCATTTCATGTCCACTGATAAGTACAGCGGAGGACCTGTGATGCTGTGGGCCTGTTTCTCTTTCAAAGGTCCTGGGAACCTTTGATTTGAAATAAAACTTGTTTATCCAGGAAGTCCTTTGTTTTTCCTGTGTTGTTGTAATATTTCTGCTGCTGTATTTGTTTTCTGTGCTTCAGGACGGCTCACGCACAGGGCAAAGCAGAGGCGGCGGTGGGAGCCGCACAGAAAGCCCACGAGGAGAGCCGGATGGCTAGGGTCACCGCCAAGCAGTTCTCCCCGTCCTTCCAGCACCCTGGAAATGGTGGGCTCCCAACACACACCAGAAACGATTCCCACGTAACGACAAACCTGCACCCTCATGTGCAGAGTGACTTGAAAAAGCTAAAATCTATTTTCGACCTCATACACTGCAAAAACACAAAATCTTACCAATTAATTTTGGTTTATTTTCCACTGTAAATATCTTAGTTCACTTGAAATAAGACAAACTTGCAAATCACTTTTCAGGAAGATATGGACCCATTGCATTTTATTTTTTACATCCAGAAATTTCATGCATGCGCACAGCACAGCTATGGAGGGCTTTACTTGTCCTCCATAGCTGCGGTAGAACAACTCCGTTAACGACCTGGAGATGTAGATATTATTAATTTAGAGCAGTGAGCAACTGCAAAGGGAAATTAATGTAGAAAAAACGGTTAAGAACAACTCGGGACCACTGTTTTCTCGCTCTCTGTGTCGGCTATGCTACGCGCAGACTCGTTGCCATAGCAACTGACAATAATGCCACCATATGTGTCGGGATTCAACACCAAAGAACACTCAAACATTTCCCACTCAAAGAACAGAACATTCAGTCTGCTACAGTTTTATGATTTTAGGCTTGATGTTTATTTTGCGATTACTGTTAACTGATCGCTGTAGTAGGTTAGCTACAGCTGCTATTAGCTAAGCTAACACAGCAGCAGTTGATTAGCTAATTTAAACACCTGCTCTGCTGATGATCTGTCAGATTTGGTGTTTTTAGGTGGCCTATTAAAAAAATTAACTGAACTAAAACACACCAAATTCCATGTCACAACTATATGTTAAGGTTGTCAAAGTCAAGCTAGCATAACTGATTTATTTCCCTCTCCCTCGCCATTTGTTTAATTAAAACATTTCCTGACCTTGTTATCTAGTTGTTGTAATGTTGACAATTAGTAGCAAAGCACTGCATCTTTTTTTCTTTTTTAAATCATTTGTACGTTTAAGATTTAGTCCGTTATGATGACAGCTTAACAGCTAAAACCAATGCTAGTCATCGTCAGCCAGAAGCTTTTTGTCCTCCAGCAGGAAGCTTGAGCGTGTGACATCATACTGCAAGGGTCCATAGAAGCTTTTTCAAAGTCAATAATTTCTTAGTATTGGTGAAAAATTCTATTTCCATATTATTTGACTTTTAAGTAAACTTCACATGCGAACAGACCAAACACGTTTTGATACATTATGTGCGTCAGTTTGGGGGAGTTGATGTTAAAGGTCACTGATTGCCTCCCTCCAGCTTTGCCATTCCACGTCTCAGTCACACCTGTGGCGCTCCACAGGTAGCCGTCCCATATGGAGCACGCATAATGGCGCACCCGCACACACAGAATGCATGGCCGTCATGACCGCCATCTTTTCTGCTCTCACTTATGAGAACGTCTCTGCCAACAAGCATCAGCTCTGACATTTAGCCGCATGTTTGTTTGGACTTCTTGGACATCATCTTCCTCATGCCACCCAACTGTGTCCTTTTGAAATCATCACTGTTCTGACTAAATTAAGAACATGTTTTTGTATCGCCCATAGGCCTATCCTATTTAGTAAAATTCCCACTTTGCTCTTTTTTATACTTCCATTTGGATCTGGCAAAAAAAAAATCTAGCTCTTTTATGGCAATAAATGTATGTTTTTTGGTGTCTGAAAAACGAGCCGTTTCAAAAACCTCCAGATAAACGGGACCTGTGCTGTTATCTAGCAACATAAATGGCGCTTCAATTTGTTTGGTCAGATGGTTTTACTGCTGTATTCGCTGCACAATGGCTGATGGAAAAGATAAGTGTTTTGTTGTTGACCCACCATTCAGAAACTACTTGCTGCATTCTTGCTGGTTGTGCAGGATGCTCCACTTCTGCTTTTCAAAGATCTCAAAATAGGCACAACTGACCAGAATAAAATCTTGCTATCCACTTGTAACACCCATAGATCTATCCTAACCTGTTTGAGGAAGCAGTAATAATAATTAATATCAGGTTGCCATAAACGAGTCTAAAGTCAAACAAACATTTTGACACTTTCCTTCTGATTGCTGAATTTGTCTCATGTTTTCTGCAGGAATGGAGGTTCAGCGACCCAAACGCCAGGTTTCCAGTGAAGTCGAGGGCGAGGGCTTGTCGAGTAGCGCCGGCACCGCGGAAAGCCCAGATCTTTACACAAAAAGTGTTGGATCTGATGACCCCTCCAATGATGCCGCGACCCCCGACCTCAGCCCACCCTCCTCTTCACCTCCCCACACGCCGCCGCCACCTGCCCGACCGTCGCAGCGAAGCAAGAGCGCCCGATTCCACCGGCAGAGCGCCGTGGACCACGGAGACCGGGGTAAGGACAGCGGTGAGAAAGGGGGAGAAAGAGGACACACGGAGATTCAAGTGCTGATGGAGGGAGGCGGCGAGGGAGGAGTGAAGCCGGAGTATCCACGCGCCAACAGCTGGAGCGAGGACAGGAGGAGGGGGGTGTTGTCAAAAGGAGGCGGCGGGATCAGTGGCCGTGGAGGAAGCCGGACCAACGGACACAAACACAGCTCCTCCAATCACAAATCGCGGGAGCACAGTTCGTCCAATCACAGGCAGGCCAGGGGCGACAGGTGGACAGAGTCGTCTTCGTCCGCCACTTGGACGTCTGGGCACAGGGGGACGCACGGCAGGGGGGGCCGGCTGCTGGAGCAGGATGAGGAGAAGATCAGCAACTACGAGATGGAGATGAAGCCTTTACAGCCCAGAGACTCCACTACCCACAAGCCCCATGGGCATGGGGAGGAGCGGCACGGGCACGCAGAGGGGCGCTCCCATGGCGTGCCGCGGCAGAGGCACAAGAACCGGGAAGGGAGGGACGGGGGCAAGGACTCGACACACAAAGGGGAGAAAATGGATTCTCGGCCACTACGACGAGACCTGACCCTGTCCCCGCCTCTGAAGTCCTCCCCCATCGTACCCGATCGGCAGGACCTCAGCCTCACGGCCAGCCAGGGGAACTCGGTAAGTCTGACATGCTCTGATGGTACGATATGTCTAAAAAGCTTATCATAATATAAGCATTGCATATCAGTCGATATTGGTAATTAGCGATTGTTTTCAATATCTGAAATACAGCCAGATACATTTCAGATATATCTGCAGGAAAATTATGGGTGAATATTACTGTTTCACCCATAATTTGTTCTCAAGCTGTTGGACTCATTTTCTCCTTTCAATACACGCTGTTGATTTTTATTTTTTAAGCAGTTATGAAACCAAGCAAGCGGTTTCTGTTGTTTGATTACCTAGCAACAGGCTGTTGTTTCTTACCCATCAGGTTGTTGCTAGGTAACCAAAACATGAGTGAGCTAGTTGATGCTACTAACCTAGCTTAGCTAGCCAGAGGCTGAGAGCTTGAGCAGATAGTCTTTTCTCTGCCTACATCCCCCAGAATGCTGTGCAGTTCTGGATTGAAGTTCACTGAAAGGAATCTACTGTGCTTCGTTTTTACCAAGGGTAGCCTGTTTCTTTCTTTTTCAATCAGTTTCTGCAGTCAACAACGCTGATCCTTCACAGTTTGTGTATCTATGTTGTCCCTTGACGGGGAATTATAGAAATACTATTCTTACGCTGTTCTCATACTGGTAAACTCGGTTTGATTGGGGACCAAAATTGCAACGTTTGTTACATTTTCAGCGCTGTGGTTCTCTTTCACACTGCACAATCCAAACCCTTTGAAAAACCTGTTCCCCTCCTCGCCTGTGGTGGCACCACACCAAGAACCACTGAAGAAGACACCGAGCACAACTTCCTTCTTCACAGAATGTAAACAGAAATGGAGTGGTATCAGATTTTAATGGTCTCTTTAGTTTTTGGCAACAGATCCTTAGTCATTTCTCCCGCTAGCGCTGACTGTCTAGCACTTATTTTGGTTGTATTTACCCAGAATGCCCTGCGCTGTTGTTCGTTTTCTGCTTTTGGAGCGATCTCCAAGGCACTTGGCATTCATATATGCATTGTAACTTCAACAGAGCCGAGTCTGAGGTTTGTAGGTGGACCAGAGTTTGACTTACACGTTCACTCCTCCCCAACTGAACCGGACCTTCTAGACAAATGGACTGGATCTGGAATAAACTGGACTAAACTGGACTGATGTGAATGCACCATTAAACAAGGATTCATGTTGAAATAATCAGGTTACTGGTGACTCTTCCTTCATCGACTTAAAAAGGCTCTTTGAAATTTTCTCTTGTATTTGTTGACATTTTGATGGTGACCCACAAACATAAAGACAGTTATAGGCTGTTGCTGCTGTTAAATGTGTTGAATAAAGGGTGGATCCAAAAGGTGAAGAGTTTTTGGTTGATAATGGCTGTGTCACCCTTCCACCAATGCGTTAGGAATTGCTTGAACTCATCTAGACGAGTTGATTTTCTCTCATCTATTTTGCGTCTCAGTAAGGCTCTCCTGACGGCGCATCACTGCCCTGAACACAATGTTTCACTGAAATTTGTGGATGTGGTTTGGCTTTATTTGGCATAATCTATGGGGTTTATTTAACAGCTGGTCTCCAAATTTCTCTTTCTGCATAAGCAGATTTCATAATAACTAAAACAGAAATGTGTTTTTCCATGAAATCAGGATAAATAAAACCAAACTAGTGATTACCTTCTAGCTGTAAGCTGCTATAATAACCTCTATCTGTGTGGTGAGTCTTTGCTGGCTGCTGAAGCATGTTGTTCAGAGGTTAGGTAATGTTTCAAACCCATTTGGACCATTACCTGTAACTTTTCAAAACTGACAACCAAACATTCGCACCCACTTCACACCAGGAAGAGGCAGCCATGTGGAGTTAGGAGGTGTCACTTGTGGCAACAACCCAAAGCAACGGTTTCAGGATCTCCCTGGAGAGTGTCAGAAAATGTGTGCTGCTATCCCTGCTTTTAAATGCTGACAGAAACATTAGCCCATACTGATTTCTCACTTTCCAGCTTCTCAGATCCATTTCAGATACATTCTGCTAATGGATGAGATTGTAACTCAAAACCTTGGAGTTTTCCAAACGCCACAGATGCAGTTATGGGCTTAGTCATGTTTGGTTTCTCCAAAGGAGGGGGGAAATTAATGTTTATATGTGTGATGTACAATACAACAGATAGCGTCCCAGGAAAATATTCATCGATCAGACTCTCTTTCTCTCTAAATTATTGTTGCACCACCTGACAAAAACTTCACCTGCCAAACACTGTCAGATGTTTCTTATTTTATTGAAAAACATACCTTTGAATTAACAGTACAAACTACAGACCTGTTTTAAGGTCCTTACCAAAAATAAAGTACACAGCAGTATTGTGCTTTTTCAAGATCACAAGGTTTGAGGTCTTTTGAGAAAATTCAAAAAAAACAACTTAAACCACCAAAACAATGTGATGAGTTTTAGGTTTGCTTGTAGAGCAAAAGGAAAATGCACAGATACAGCAGCTTTGTGTCAATTTAAATGCAAAACCAGTCTAAAACAAATACCCAACAAAAAGTCAAACATTACAGGAAAAAATAAAGTACAGCATGTGTAACATTTCCAAAAGTCAATTTGTAATAAGAAATAACATTAGCATCACAGACTTATTACAGTAAGTTGGCAGTTGTGTCTTGTTTCACATGACTGTAGATTTCTACCTCTTGTTGTCCAATTCCTCTGGATGTTGACCTCCAAAATGTTTAATGTAGAACTTCTTTTGTTTCTATAGATTTTATTGACAAAATAATATTTTTGAAACACATTTTTGTTGGGTATTTCTAACTCTTCTTTGAAGCTCCCAAAGAGCAGCTAACAGCAGTTAGCAGTTGTAAAATTAAACACAGCTAAAACGCACAACATTAATAATGAAGTTAGTTAAAAACATACACAAACCATGGAGAATTTACACATGTAACCATTTATAAATTGAAATTTGTCTAAGACTTATGTTTACATATAATACTAAATAAATGTATAATGCTAATGTAGGCCACAAGGGGAGGAGTACTGGTTGCTATGGTAACCACCAACTGTCAGGAGCAGCGTAACGGACATCTTCTGATTTTGGCAAATTAATCTGACAAATAAATAACCCAATTTTGACAATGTTAACATCTATAATGATTAAAAAATAAATATTTTCATCTTTGCAAAGCCTATAATCTTCTATCTACAGTTTCTCTATATTTGGTAAAAATTTAAGTGTCCTCTGTATACTTGAAGCTAAATAAAATATCATGGAATAATAGATAATAAATAAAATCTAACCTGTTTAACTTTTCAGGTTCAGGATGATTGAGAACATTCCTAGCATTGATCATTGCTGCTTTACATTGCACTGCTATTTATATCTGCACGGCTTAATAACCGCACAGCAGCTGTATGATGCATTTGTCAAATTTGTCGTGTCACTGCCACACATTGATTTGACTAAAAGGATTTGTTACCCGCTGTCATGAGAATACATCCTGTCCACCGTGACATAACACAGTGTTATCCCTCATATTAAGATAATCCTGCAGGACAAGCGCAAGGTTTACCCTTTGGAAAAAAAATATATTTTGGTTCACTGAACAAGCAGAAAGGATTACTGTTGTAATGTGATTTTATTCATTTTTTTATTTTGGCGGGTTATGTCTTAACTCGAGCTGGTGACTCGCTAATCCCTGCTGATAATACGGCTTTAGCATTAGCTAATGAAAGCAACAGGAAAATTCAAGTGGAAAAAGTGGAGTTCCTGCATCCCTCTGCTGACTCTCCTCCGTTTGTCCGCAGCAGTTTGATGATGCTGAGGGACAGAAGCCACTACCTGCTGCAGGAAGGCAGACGTACACAGTACACAGATGCATGCTCAGAGAACAACCCCAAGATGCACCTTAGTAACAGAGGAATGAAAAAGTAGCCCGTTTCACTCAGAGAGGTGTCTTATTGGTTAACCGGCACTCTGTTGCTAGGGAACAGCGTATGCATCGCTTCGGCTGCAGCCAATCAGTGGGCAAACAATGGGGAGTTGGGTGTGTGTGTGTGTGTGTGTGTGTGTGTGTCTGCATCAGCAGAGAGGCAAGTGAGATCGGTGTTAAACAGGTTCCCAGTACACACAAATACTATCATAAATACACAACGAGCGCCATGGGAACAGAGCTACACCCGTCTCCAGTCAGTCACTGAGTAAACATGACTGTCCTACTGTTGGTGCAAAACACCAAGCAGATGCTTGTTTTTTTTTTACATTGCATTCATTGTGGCATGAAAAGCTTTGAAGGTAAATGCCTCAGAGCCCATCATGCGTCCCACTGGCACATATTTACATGAAGATGATTCCCCAGACTGGTGAGGCTTTTCACCCGCCGCAGCAATTAAAACGACACCAACAGAGAGGGAAAACAAAAAATGCAGTTGGATAGAAACAAATTGCAGATTTCCATCCTCCAGCGTTTGATCAAACTCTCCCCTGGTGATTTAACAAAAAAAAACGGTCTTGAAAGCTTGTGTGTCGGATCATCTTCTGTAAACAGGTGTCTGCTGACATGGTCTGAGCTGTCATCGTGGTCAGCTGCTGCGTTTCGGCTGCTCTGCAGTTTTTCTGGGCGGGCCGCAGCACGGAAGCGATGCAGTTCACACATCACGTTGGTAAAATGGATCTCTGACGGGGAGATGCAGCGTTTCAATGAGAGCAATTAGCACTGTTAGCATAGCTCTGAATTAAATGAAGTTGGTTTCATGCAGAACTTCAGATTATTATTGCATCACTGAAGAATTAAAGGGGCAGTGTTATGTAAAATCTACTTTTTTGGGCTTTACATCATGATATATTCGATGACGTTATTTGATCTTCAGAAACAGAAGTGTTGCCTCGATTCTTTAATGCTTATTTTAGAAGATCTTTAAATCTAACATTTCCTTCAATGCAGAAACATTTGCCCACAACTTTACAGAATTTTTTTTGTGAATGATTATGCTTTTGCACAAATTAGAAGCTAATCAACAAACCGCGTCATAAAATAATGCAGAGCAGTAAGCGAGGAGCAGAGAGTGTGAGTGTAAAACCCGATCAGATCTGCCTCTGCTGTGGTAATCATCTCTGACACAGATCTGTGATAAGCCTATCACCACGGTGATCAGCAGGAACAGCCACTCTGGACGGGATGGATCCATCTACAACTGTGTGGCACCGAGTCCTATTTCCCATCTCCCTCTGCAGCCATCATTACAGTTATAACAACTTTAATTAAAACAACAGGTTTTCTAAATCCTTTCCTCTTTAAGACCAAAATGTATTTAAAACAGTCAGGAATAAGTAGGACGGAGGACTCTGGTGTTCATATTTACCCAAAGTGGAGAGGTGGTTGGAAAGAACGGCCTTCACCTCGACGACCCAGGCTGTCAGCAAGCATCTGCTCAGACACCACTTCGCAAAACAGCCCGTTAGTACAGGACGATATTCATCTTCAACATGCAAAACGCACCTATTTTGGTTCCTACTTTGGTGAACGTTGCAGCTCCAAGAGACGAGACAAGAAACAGAGGGCAGTATATAAATATAATTTATATTTTATAAGAGGGATGCATGATAATTTTTGCCCCCATAAGAAATTATGACGTCATTCTTATGTTAGATATAACAAATAACAAGTTTGGTGTGTTATTTTATTATTTGATTTTTTTTTTTTTTTAGTTGAAGTGATGTTGGTATAACCTGAGAAAACAACTTTTTACTGGAAATTAATTATTTTAAAATTCCTTCATCTCATGTCAAAAAACAACTGAGTCATAATTTTAATAGTAATTTAAAAAATAAAATATAAATCACCGCAGGGTGTTGAAGGAAAACAACAGAAATATAAACAGAAAGGGTCAGAATGACTCCAACATCGAGTGATTGCTGCCCAGCTTGTCAGCAAACAGAGAACGGCTCTTTATGGTTTTGTAGCTACCGTGACTAACTGCCACGGCGGTTGCTATGGAGTTACTATGACAACTAAAGTATAAGTACATCTTAACTATTAGTCAATTTCAATTTTTGAGTACTATAATACTAAGATAAATACCAGTGATATTTATTAGTATTTTTTGCCAAACTAGTAAAATTAGCTTTGCTAATGTGGCTTTTATCTGCTAGCTTAGATGGATATGTAGCCTACATGTTTACTACATGCACTTACTCCCTCAGTCACAGCCATTTTTGTTCATACATCTTTCTCTTACACATTGGTCAAGAGTGTCAATTTACTTTCTGTTTGTTGGTCTAGAAGTCATGGTTCAGCTTTACTTTGTGCTGTGCTTGCCTACCAAGATGGCGCAGATTACTTCTGGTATGGAATTATGGGAACTATGTGTATGCTGGGTTTGTGCAACAAATGTTAAAAGAACAAGGAGAAAAACTTTGCATTTACCGTTATATGTCAAACCCAACCATCACATTGACTGAGGATGCTCACAATGCTAAAGATAGTAGCAACAAGCTAGTCTTCTCAAATCCATTGATCGAAGCTTTTCAAGTAACATGAAAATCTGCCTGAGGATACAAGCGCTGAACCGATTAAAGATTTCATAAGAAACTTAATGTCCAACTTTCCACCCTTATCGAAGCTAAGTAAAGCTAAATATTTAGCTGGAAACTTAGCTCTAAGCTAAATATTTAGTTCGGAGGTGTCCAAAATGCGGCCCAGGGGCCATTTGCAGCCCTCTGAAGAATTTTGTGTGGCCCTAGACCTCACAGCAAGTGCAGGTGACCCAGATGGACACTTTTTCATAGAGCAAGATTATTTACAGATAAATAACGTGCTAAAAAAATATGAGGTACAAAAAATAAATTCCCATTTATCAACAATGTCTTTGCATTCGTCTTAGCTTTGGAGTAACTAGAAACTCAAAGATCGACCGACTTTTACTCAAATGCAAAACATTCAACCCAAATAAAAAACAATCAACCCCAAAACGTCAGAAACTGGATCTGTCTGATGATAATGCAATTATGCTAAACCTTTTTTAGGTTTTGTATCTACAACAATTTAAAACTTTAATTCATTATTCAGCCGACAAACCTAAAAAAAGGCACAATGAGTTTGTTTTAAAATTCTTTTTGCGGGCCCTCAAGTTCTTTTGACTTAATGATTTTATCCCTCCTGGCAAAAAGTTTGGACACCATTGATTTAATTTGAAAACTAAATATTTGATTTAAAACTGTGGGGTGTTAAAATGAATGAATGAATAACAGTTAAAATATGACTTAAAAAAATTAAACTCCATTTTTTTTCTCTGACTAAATAACCCAAATTACTGCGATGAGTTTTTAAGTGTTTAACTTCACAAATGCGACCTCATATTCACACAAACATTAGTTGGGATTTGTGTATCTTTTGACAAAATTTCCAATAAAAATCCTCACAACAGTTGTGAGCCAAGGAACAGTCCAAATAAAAAACAAACCCCAAAATGAATTCATTGTTCATGTTGGTGGTGAGTGGATGCAACCCGCTGACCGCAAATGAAAAGAGCCTTTAAGTGTGCGAGCTTCGCCTGTGCACGTCCTTAATACTGACACCTTCTCTTTTCTCTTTTTTCTCTCCCACGCAGGCCTACAGCTCCATCCTGGTTGCCATGGTGATTCTGCTCAACATCGGAGTGGCTATTTTGTTTATCCACTTTTTTATTTAAAGGCGGCGATGCTTTCAGAGTCAACCTACCTATGCCAGAAACACGACGAAAACCACGAGTATTACAGCAAATCTGCTGCCCCTCCGCGCGTCCCGGCCGACAGAAGACCCGGACCGAGGACTGGAGAGGCGGAACCGAGCCGGGTCCGGTCCGGTCCGGTCCAGGTGGAGGAAGAGCTGAGGCCAAAGAATAGGACAACAGGTTGGTCCAGGGAGGAACCTGGACTTGTGTGACCCAAATGGGCTGACTTGAACACACAGACAGGACTGACGGACTTTTTCATTGTCAAATCATAGTTTTCAACAGATTTGTAACTTCAGATTTATTTATTGACTATTTTTTCTTCCCATGTGCAATATGTTGATGGTTGTATTGTTTATTTTTGCAACCCACCCCTCTTCTCTCTGAACCTCCTGCCTTTTACTTCCTCCACGTCCCCAGCGGCTGTTACTGATGGTACGGGCAGTGAAACCTGGGCGGCGAGTTCTCATTTCACCTCGTTTTTCATGCATTGTATGCAGGTGTGTGCGTGCATATGTGCGTGCGTGTGTGTGAGTGTGTGTTCTCTAGTTGCATCCAGAGGTGGGCAGAATAGCACTACTTATTTATACATATTTTTACTCGAGTAAAAGTAAAAAGTATTCATCCAAGAAAATGCTCAAGAGGAAAAGTCTACTCAAGTACTGAGTAACTGATCAAATTATCAATTATTTAATATTTTAAAAATACATAATCAGATGGACCAAATTATAAAGTTAAGTGGAAATTTTGGTATTTTAAGGACAAAAATGACAGTAATTTATATAAGTGACAAAAACTAAAATCAGGTAAAATGTTTTTTTTTTTTTTTTTTTTTTAAATCAGTTTCTTTCAATAAAAAAAAAGTTATGAAATTTGAACAAAAACTGCAGGTCTGTGTCTGGTGACTTTTTGGCTAAAATATGTTTGGTTTTCATTCAGTGTGTAGAAAATCCAGAAATTTTACTCAAGTAAGAGCAGCGATACTTCATAACGTAATTACTCAAGTAAAAGTAAAAAGTACAATATAGTAAAAAATATTCCCAAAAGTTACTCAAGTAAATGTCAATGAGTAAATGTAACTAGTTACTACCCAACTCTTTGCGTCTGAATGTTATGAATATTATGAAGCAATTACCAATATTACAAGGTAACAGCTTAATACTTTCTGCTCTCCTACAAACACGTCAGTGAAAGGACGCAGTAGAGTTGCCAAATGTCCCGTAATTTAAGCCAAAGTGTTGTACTGGTCACTCTGATTTAGACTACAGCCTCCAATTCGTATGTCCAAACACTAGATGGCGCTCCTCTCCTTACTTACCTAGACCTAGACAAAAATGTAATGTCGAAGTAGAAAGCGCTGCGAAATGTTTTGTCTGCAAACGATTCTTGTGGTCAGAAATGACAGCCAATTTGAAAATAATTATTTTATAGACTTATATGGAGAAATCTGCAAAGAACAGGAAACTGTGCAACTGCAAAAAGTAATGGGAACAAAAGAATCCGTGGGTTAAACCTGTCAGTGATTAAAGCTTTTTACAGTTTGCCCTCAGGAGTTTTCAATTGGACATAGAGGTGAAAACGATTAATCTCAGCTGTTTAAATAAAGCTTAATGATAAGTAATGTGCTTTTGACCAACAATGCTGGTTGGTATTGCATTAGTTTTTAATTTTCCTGCACTTTGATGGAAGATGCAGTCTTGCTTTAAAGATCCTTCTGCTTACTGAGGACATAATCAGCTGAAAACGTAAGGAAATTATTATTTATTAAGTATTGTGCAATGACGTCACAATCAACACATTAGGTCATTGAGTCTCACACCTGGTGTAACTGTGCCGCTTTTTGGAGGTGCTGAGGTGGCAAACATAGTACATCTCAAATCTTTGAGTTGAATATTTGAAATTAAACATCTTTAGCAACGTTTGGATGAGTAAAGCTAAAAGTATTGGCATTTCCTTGAGTTGGAAATAACCCAGTCTTTGATGTTTTTGTAGCTAAATTCACAAATCGTTTCAAGTTTTTTTTTCTTTTTCTTTTTTGCTATACCAGAAAAGTTTCCTAAAATTACAAGAAAGTAATTTCTAAAAGCTTGGATAGAGTTATTGAGGCCTGACACGACCAGCTCAGCTAGTCTGTGATTCTTTCCTAGAAATAGACGTTTCCTCAATCGTTTCAAAGAACTACTATTGATAATTTGGTGATAAAGACGAAGTATTTCCGATAAAACCAATACCAGAGTAGAACTTAAGATGCTCAACATCCCTCATGCTAAGTTTTTGCTAGTTTTTGTAGGAGTAAACATAAAATTGCAACATTATCCTGGTATTATGTTGACTTCATTTTCTTTCAACTTTATTTTTGTATTACTAAAAGTTTATTCTGTTAATATTATGACTTTATTCTTGTAGTGCCAATTCTTGTGGCACTAATATTCAGTCATTTGACCTGAATTCAAAGTGTAAATAAATAAATAAACCGTAAAAAATGCTTTTCAAACAAGATGGCTGCCCTGACACCACCCTCAGCTATGTAAACACAGAGTGGTGAAAACAATCCATGTTTTAAAAAAAATTAAGTGTTCACAAACAAAACACTCAGTAAAACAAACAAAGTTGAGTCCCAGGTTAAGCAGTATTTTAATTGTAATTAAACGGCCAGTGCTAGTATGGCTATCACTGACCGTTATATTGTTGGATTCTCCTGCAGCTGTCTGACATTTTACCCATCACAGATCTCCATTTGCACCAAATTATTTGTTTTCACTGCTTGTAAAAGTGCATGAAATGCAACATTTCTGTTCCCCTCTGCAAAAATATTGACAGCATCTGTTTTTATTTACCTGCATATGTTTCCATTCTTCCTGCACACCGTGTTTGATACCATCAGTAACGGCATCTGGTGGGCCGAGAGGACTTTGAAGGTTTCTTTTCTCTTCTTTTTTTTTATTGTTTTTAATAATCCGACAGCATTTCTTAAACTTGGGATTGGAGCAGAAACTAAAGGCTGTGGGTTCACTTCTGGTGTTTCTCCAACTTATTCCAACTACAGCTGAGTCGGATGTGCCTGCAGCCTGAGAGGCAGAACAATAGATTTTTATTTTATTCTGGGTCCCAGGAAGAATTTCAGAGGCTCTGCTGTATGCCGTCAGCCTGGTGACGATGCCCTGCGCCACCGTTTTAGTCTGCAGCATGCCACAGCATGCCAAGCTCTTTCTATATAGGTTTGAATCTCCTCTTTCTTTCTTCCTTTCTCTTCCTTTCTTTCTCTCTTTCTTTCTGGGAAATACTCTGTTTTTGTTTTTCAGTTGTGTGGAGAAAATAATGAAAGTGTTTCAAAGAAAACATTTTGCCTCCCGTGTATTTTTATATGTACATATGTGTGTATGATTTTGTTCTGCCTTGTGTGTATTTGTGCAGTTTTGCGGCATCCCTGATGCAATGAAGGAGTGGGCCCGGTTGGGAAGGGAGAGTGTGGTTACTATGGCAACCAAAAGGGGGCGGGGTTAGCTGGCTGTGGGCGTGGCTTGTTTTTTCTTCAATGACGATAGAAGACGAAAGGTGATCATCTGAAGATTTTTTTCTTTAAAAAAAAGGTAGATGTGAGGGGAAAAATATAAATCCATGTCGTAGATCTGATTAATAACGTTTTATTTTCAATATTGTATTGTTTTGTAGTCTTGTTTATTTTTCTGAGAATGTAAATCATCTTTTAGCAGCAGGTGTGCTTTGATTAGATTTCATTGTAGACACCTGGCGCCATCGTCTGGACATAGATGTGAACCACAACATTTTAAATGAACAATGCATTTATTATTGTTAATAATCTGACTAATATTCCGTTATAGGTAAAACTAAAAATATTAAAAGTTTCTCTCCAGCTTAGAGTTCTGAAGGAGCTCAAGTATGGAGCTGGATGTAGACAGAGTGGGACTTTGTCTGCTGTAGTTTGGATGTTATTTCATTATGTTTTGGTGAAAAAAAGAGCAGAGTCAGATAGTAAAACCTTCAGTTGTAGTTCTACCAGAGAAATGCGGGATCCTGGAGGCCTTCGACCAGAATCAGGTTGTTCTGTCTGGGAGCCTCAAAAGCTCCACCAACCTGGGGGAGCCAAGGTAGAGCAGCAGGTCCTCTGGAGGTTGGTCAAATGATGGATGGATGGATGGAAGGATGGATGGATGAGTGGAGTGTTGTCTCACTACAAAAAAATCTGATTTTAAAAAAATATATAAATGTCTCCATATTTTTACATTTCTGCCTAAACCAATCAGATAAAACACATTTCTAATGAGTTACCATGTATTTCTTTGGTGAAAAATAAAGAAAACCGGTATTTAAAGACGACTTTTCTCCATAACCCAAGAGCCAGAAACTCATCTGAGATACTTATGAAGGCCATGAGAAAAGATGTGGAGAAGGCGGGCAGCGGAAATACCTCTGCACCAATCAGAACGCACGATCTCATTATTGACTGTCCGGTCAGCCAATCAGAGGAAACCATACCTCTCCGTGGCCCAGAGCAGGGATAATGTTCTTCACAGCTGTTTTTTCCCCTCTCTTTCTAAAGTCATGGCAGGATTCAGGCAGGATTAAACTTCCAGTTTGCTGAACGGTGAATAAACCCGAAACTTTCACCGCTGAGACCTGCGTGCAGAGCCCCGTCTGGTGAGGTAATGTCTCTGAAATGTTCAAATACCATTCCCAGCTGCAGCAGGCTGTAGCCCCAGGCTGCTCCGGGTTTGCTTTTTAAGCTTTGTCCCAGTTGAAACAGTTTACCGGGGGACCATGAGGACGCTCCGTTCCGAAGTCTCTGCACGGTTCGGCTTGAACGAGACCAAGAGTTTTCAACTGTCTGCAGCCGGACTGTGAGGAAGCGTGCGGTCCGATAGAGACCCAGTCCGGGCGGCCAGACCTCAGCAGACCCTGCCGGGATTACTGTGGAAGAAGTCCGAAAACAAAGGAAACTTTTGTTCTTCTCTCGTTCCCCTCCGCCGGGAACAAACACAGGAGTTTGGAGAAAGTTCAAAAAGTTTTGACGCGCGCGTGCGCTCCCTTTGATGTGAGCGCCGACAGGTTCTTTTGATCCAGGTGGTTCCAGGTGTGAGGATGGTGGAGAGCCGGAGCTGCGTCCAGAGAGAGGGGGTGTACCGCTGGTTCTCCACCCTCACCTCCGCTCAGAGAGCGGAGTTCCTCTGCGGCCTGCTGGACCTCTGCGTCCCCATCGAGCTGCGCTTCCTCGGCTCCTGCCTGGAGGACCTGGCCCGCAAGGACTACCACTCCCTGCGGGATGCGGAGATCAAAGCCAACAACCCCGCGGACCTCTCGGGACTCACCAACGTCACGGACGAGGTGGTCCGCAGCAAGCTGCTGGTGTCCCTGGCGCTGCTGGGCACGGACAACCGGGAGGCCGCGGGGGTCCTGTACCGGACCCTGACCCACATCGACACGGTGATCAACAACTACGGGCTGGCGCTGAACGAAGGCAGGACGGAGGAGCAGTTCCTGCTGCTGTTCACCATGGCCTCCAACCACCCGGCCTTCAACTTCCACCAGAAACAGGTGCTGAGGCATCAGCTGGGCCACATCCAGGACATCCTGCAGGTGAGAGCAGAGGTCAAAGGTCGGTGTTGTCCCTATGGACACAAACCAGCTCAAAAATGAATCAAATTCAGTGTGACAGGATTTATGGCGAGGAATCCAGCTAATTTAGCATTTGATTAATTATTAACTGGAGTAAACAAATTCAAAAATGGATTTTGCTGAAAGAACAACATATTCAGAGAAGTAATTAAGTCAAAAATGCATTTTGCATTTAGAATGACAAAATCTTTCTCTGTAAACAAACACGCTCAAAAAATCAGATTCAATAGGATGTAGTACTGAAAGGATTAATTGTGATGAATCCAGGTAATTTAGTAATTCATTAATCATTAGCTGGATGACAGACTCAGGAAAAAAATGCAGTTTGCTGAAAGAACAACGTATTCAGAGCAGTAATTAAGTCAAAACTATACAAAAATACAAACATTGAAAAAATCCATAAATTTGCCTGTCACAATAACAAATCTTGCTGGATGATAAATTGTGGTAAACAATAATATTGTCATTTTGAGACCATTTTTAGGTAATATGATGATAATGGTATAATAGTGCAGGAACACATTCTTAAAGATCAATAAACTTTAATTTCTAATGATGATCACTTAATACTGGACCTGGAAGACTTTTTAAATATCCAAAATTAATCAATAAAACATCAGTAACAATAAATAAAATGAATTATAAAGCCTTTGTAAACAAAATTGTCCTTCAAACAAAGGGCTAGTTGAAACCAAAGCAGCAGACTGAAAACTTTTATTGTCCAGTTTTTGGTATAAAAGAGAAAAGCAACAAATCCTGCACATGGAAATTATTGAGTTTGTTTTAATTTAACATATGATTAATTGATTTATTGCTTATTAGGCCTAATACTTACCACCTTTTGCTATTCAATAGTTAACCTGTTCGTCCAAACAATAATAAACAAATTAGCCCTACAGCTTGCTAATGTTGAGAAGAAAGTGTTACACAACCATCGATGAAACAATTAATCGTGATTAATTGATAATAGAAATATTGGTCAATTGATTTAATAATCAATTAATCACTAAGTGGAGAATACAGTCTCAAAAACATTATTTGCCAAAAGAACAACATATTCAGAGCTCCTGTTAAGCCAAAGCCAAACAGTAGTGTGGACATTTGCACTTAATATTTACATTATTTATCTGTAAATATGTCCTACCAAGAACTCCACAGGTAGTTTTTAGCTTCATCTGGTTCAAATTCTGTAAAAAAAAAATATCTGCTATTAATCAGCCTTTGCTATCCAATTATTAATTGGTCAAAACAAAAAATAATAAACAGATCAATCCTGTTTTGATGTTAAGTTGAGCAGAAAGAACTGGACTTTTCACATGTTGATGTTAAAGTGATTGTTTTTTTAGCTGCAGATGCTAGAAATGATCAAGTGGGAACAAAGGGAATTGTAATAAAATATTTATCTTATTTATAAAAGGAAGTGAATTATTTATTTGTGTTTTTAATGTCTTCCTTGTATTGCATAAAACAAGTTTTGGTGATTAAATGAAAAATCTGCAGGACGTGTCAATGGTTAATCAATTAATCATCAGAATAACTGATAGATTAACCGATTACTAAAATAATTGTTTGTAGGATATATTCAACAGAACAAAACACAGAGAAATCTTACAAAGTCTGGAAAAATATGGAATGTCATTCCTTATTTTCCACATCTGGATAAGAGTAGAAAGAGTGAAAAATGTGTTTCCTGGACTGATTATCCATTTATCGGTCCAAAATCTCTCTGTGTTTCCTTTAAATGATCTAATAATCGGATCATCCATCTGTCAATGCCTCCTGTGATTCTGTTATTTCCAGATCCTATATTTTAAATAATTTTTATTTTAAGCTTTAAATAGATCTTTAATATGTCAGAGAACAGAAGGGTCTGGTCAGAACAAGTTTGATTCAAACCCAGCTGCTTTCAATCAGGTTTTAATCTAAATAATTTTGTCCTGTCTGATTAAAATCATCTTCAAACAACCAGACCGAGCACAGCCAATAAAAACTGATGATAGATTTCACTGAATATTTGCTGCAGTTTCCCAGGAAGTCCGAGGAATCAGAGTGATTTATATTGTTGCTTTGGGACAGAATATCACGCTCATGTTCCAGAATCCTTCGTTTCTGTTTTTATGTTTCTGTGGAAATTCTTCTACAAACAGCTGAAGTGTTTTCATGGTTTTTCTTAGTGTTGTTCCTTTTGTAAGAGGAAGTGAAAGCAGCTTCATGGAGAAGCCTGCAGTGTGCCATCAACAAGTGACAGTGACGACAAAACAGTGTTGAATGCGAGGGGTTGTCAGGTTTTCTAAAGGCACTGGAAGTTAAAAACAGTTTAATGCATCATATGAAATTGTTTGTAAAAACATTTCTTAAATGCAGGTAAAATAAACCAGTAAAATGTGAAAATATCTGGAAAAACAGTTGGAGCTAAAGAAGAAAGCTAAACAGATGGGTTTCCCTCCATGATGGAGGTGCAACAGCTGGATCGAATCAAATCTTAAAGTTTGGATCGAAATTCTCAGAGAGCTTCTAAAAGGAAATGTAACCCTGACTCGTCTCTACGGCTGAAACGATTAAACACCTCAAACAACGAAACGTCTTATAATTAATGATGCATCTGTTTTTCAGTGAATCAAAAAACATCAAATTTCTATTTTGTTGCTCCTTTTCCAAGCCATTTGGGACCAGACGCACAAAAATCTACTAATATGATGTTTTAGGGCTGAAACGATTAATAGGATTAATCAATTTTTGAAATAATTGTCAACTACTTTACTAATCAGTTAATTGTTAGCTAGTATGCAGACTCAGGAAAAGGTGAACTGCTGAAAGAACAACATATTCAGAGCAGTAATTGAGACAAAATTGTACAAAATATACATTTTGCATTTAAGATAAAAAAAACACCTTTGTCTGTAAATCTGTTCTTCCCAAAAGTCCTTAAGTTGCAGTTTTAGCTTCTCCTGGTTCAAATTCTGCTAAAACACTATCCTATGAAGCACCTTTTTCTACCAAACTTTAATTCAGTTAATACAAAAACTAATCACCAGATCAGCCCTACAATGCATTTGTGAAATCAAGCAAAAAGGGCCAAACTTTTGGGAATTTACTTAGCTTTTAATAATCAAACATTAACTAACGGAATGCTATGTACCGGTAGTTGCATTTTAGGGAATAAAATGTTTATTTTCTGATTTAAAAAATGAAGTTAATTATTTGTGTATTTACATCTTTTAATGTATTTCCAATATTTTATTTTTTTAAAATGACTAAATGAGAAATCAGCAGAATATGCTGATTATTTTTTAACTGATTAACCGATTAATCATCAAAATAATTGATAGATTAACCAATACCTAAAATAACTGTTAGTTGCAGGTCTAGCCGTCTCCACCTGACCGCAGAAAGGAAAGCGTCTTTAGTTGAAGTAGGTGGAGTTAAGCAAGCATACATGTTTCCTCAGTACCTAATTACAGGTGAGGCGTCAACAATGACAGGCTGTAACTCACCTCCACTGTTACTTATTCAGCTGGAAAATTACACACTTAGATGGGAAAGTTGGAAATGATACGTCGGTGTTTGTTTCCCTTTGAGTCAGATGTGAAATCTCAAACATTATATATTGCACTTTTAAATTTACAGTAAATTTGATTTCACAACCAAATAAAATATTGACGAATTTAAGTTTTTTCTAGGTAAAATCTCACCAAGCACTTCACCAAATAAAAGTTGAAACAAATATGGATCATTTACAGAATATTTTCAGAGTTAATACAGGAAATAACTTTTTTGTTTGCTTAATGTGGCAGTTGACACATGGTGGAAAAGTTTTGCAATAATCTGGACAAGACAAAAGCATAAATAACCATCTGAAGCTCTCGTTTTCACGCCAACGTTCTTAATATGGAAAAAATTCTTTAAACAAAACAACTTTATCACTATCTCAGTTAGTTTGAAGAAGTGTCATCTGCAGAAAAAAGTTTTAGACGATATTATAAGATGTAATAATTTGTGTTAATGTTAAAAGAGAAGTGGTCCCAAAATGATGCCCTGGGGTGCCCCATGCTAGGGTTGAAACTAGCAATTATTTTAGTAATCAATTATTCTATCGATTTTTGTGGAAATTAATCGGATAAAAAAATTAGTGATGCAGTGGGGCTTTTCACTGCACCGTGAAGAAAGACTTCCCCTAAAACATTCCCTTAATTTAAACTGGATCGACGATCCCAAACACTGAATATTATTTAACCACTTAAGCTTCATCGTGCAGTGACAGACATACAGAAAAAAGAAAAAAAAAAAAAAAAAACACAACTTAGGGATGCAATGATATGGAAAGCCGATACCGATATTTTGATAGTATTGCTGTTGTGGCCGATAAACATTATTTACCACTGTTCCTGCTTCAGTTAAACTCCCCACCATCCTTTGCTGCGTCACTGTCACATGACCAAATCGATGGAAATCAATATAAGTTCTTAATATTATTGGCCCAGTTTTACTTATTGATATGATATCGATATGCTAACATCAGCCGATACCAATGCTAATGTTGATCGTGCATTACTGAAACATATCATTCAATTCCTGTTTTTAAATAAGGCAATAAACGTTTTATTGCATAAAATGTAATAAAACGGCTTTTTTTTATGCCCGCACACTCACACACACACTCACATGCAAACACACACACGCACACACATATGTATAATAATGGCTGTGGCAGTAACAGCAATATTAGTATTAATAATTAATTAGTATCAATTATTGGTATTGGCTCAAATTGTCATATCGATACATCCCTAATTTGTTTATTTGTATTTTAAATGCATTTCTAATGTTGTATAAAATCAGCATAAATGGTTAACTGAAAAATCAACAGAACAAAAAGAATTTTTAAATCTTTATTCTATTTTGCATCAGAATAATCGATTAATCATCAGAATAATCAATTAATTCATTTTGGGATCTTCGACACGTTTCATCCGTCTGGCTGATAATTTAAAGGAATGTTGAATCTTTGAAGGGAAGTTTTCCTTCTTCCCCTCTGTGTGACGTACCAGTGAAAAAGCCCCACAGCATGATGCTACCACCACCTTTTTCCAGGCCAGCAGAGGAGGAGGAGGAGAAGCTGCAGCAGAAGCTGGCAGTGATGGAGCTGCTGGTTGCTATGGCGCTCAGCCTCATCACCACTACCACCATCAGCCCGCCGCCGTGCCTCAGGCCTCCCTGCCCAACGCCAGCGCCACCTACCTGCCAACCTGCTACTGGCACAAGGTAGGAAGCAAACTTTTAATTTTTCCTTAGATTCCCAAATTTCTGCAGCTGCAGAATCATAGCAGTGGATTGAGATGGAGTAATTAAAGTTAACTTAAAATAAACTCTAAACTTGCTTTTATGATTCAGATTAAAAGTAAAAGGCAACATTTCAGCCTATTTTTTGTGATTTTAAATTATGCATCCTTTCCAGTTTGGTTACTCTGTACAAGTCATAAATCAGCCACATTTAATTTGGTAGAGGAAGAAAGTTTTATTTAAATCCCCTGAAAAAAAAACCCTGCAGCGCTGTGAGAAATATTTGGAAAAGAAGCAAGTTCAGGAGCAAAATGTTGTTAATAAAAGACGAGCGGAGGCTGTCATTTCCAGCCAGATGTGGTCGAGCAGTCGGGATGTGATGAAACGCGGAGAACGCAGCGGGAGCAAAAGGAGGGGATTTCCAGATGATGCCGGAAACTGAGCTGCTCCTTTAAACCTTCGGATCATCCGGCACAGGGTCAAAGGAGCAAAAAATGGGAGGAAAAACAACTGTAGAGGAGAAGTTCAAAGGCAAAACATTAAATTTGTTTCTTAACTTGATGCAGACGTAAACACGGTTTTACAGCCTGTAGTCGGTCCGACGCAGGCAGGAGCAGGGAAAGTACCCGGCTCAGAGGAGCGCTTGTATTTAGTGTTTTGTTGCCCTTGGCTCCTGCTTAGTGCAGGTCAGCACATTTCTCAGTGCTGAAATCAACCCTCTGTGGTGTGTGTGAGTCTCCAGTGAATCCCCAGGAAGTTATAAATGCTCTCTCTTTGGCTGTCTTTCCATCTCTCTGCGCTCTGAAGCGACCGATGGGCTTCTATTTAAAGGCAGAACCATCACATATCACAGATTAACCAGAGAAATTGAGGTTTTTTGGGGAGGTGAGAAAATGGAGGGAAATTTGTGACTTCTGATTTTAACTACGTCCTGGTTAGATGAGTAATTGCACCATCGTCTGTATGACTTCACCATTCAGTCAGATTGTTTTTGAGGAAGTTTTCTCTGCTTCAGTTTATGAGGTTTGCAGCTTTTTTCTGTAGCACTGGAGCAATTAGTGCTGCAGCAAAAACGTCCTCAGTTCAAATCCCGATAGATGGATGAATGTTTCTGTAATAGCGCCTTTAAAGAGCAAATAAACCCCAAATCAACTTTATTTTTTGCAGATAAACTGTTTAAAATGGTCCCAAAGGGCACTAACTTCAAGTTTTTGAGCAAATTTTGGTATTTTTTTAATTCTGCAAACATTTTGCCTAAAACCGTCTCAGTGGTGCCTTTGGGCTGAACCGGTTGAATTATGTAAAAAAAATGAAATGTGAAATATGTTAAAAAATATATTAGTTTAAAATATATATTTTTATTCAGTTTTTTCTTTGTTTTAACAGGTTCAAATATCAAAACTGTGTTTTAAAGAATCTATTTGCTGTTGAATAATTCATCCAGTTTTGATCCTTTTTTCACTAAAGCATTGCTGTATTATTGCATTTTATAGGCAAAAAAATTTTGTTTTCTTATTTAAAGAGAATTAGATTATTTCCTTATTTGCATCTTTAAAACAGTTAAATAAAAAATTTGCTGAATGTGCCAATTTTCATATCCGATTAATGGATTTATCTGATGATTAATTGATTACTAAAATAATCTTTAGTTGCAGCATGAGTTCACTTACAGAGCATTTATGGCACCATTTTGCTTCCATTCCACTAAAGACGCTTTTTAATCAGAATCACTTTATTACAAAGCAAGTTGCTTTGATGTAATGTAAATAGATGAATATAACAGATAAAAATTCAATTAAAGTAAATATGTTTAAAATAAATAAAGACATGACACTTAGCCTGGCGGGGTTACAGGTTAATCCTGGCAGCCTGCCAGGCTGATAAACCCTGGAGCTGAAATTATGATGTGTTTTTTACCTTTGCATTGTGTTAGCACATCTTTATTCTCGAGAGCAATAAACTGCATAAACATCAGTTTTTATAAAGCTGTTAAAACTCTCTAATAATCCATTTGAACCATTTTGACCAAATATTCCGCCGTCCTTCTGTTACCCTGCTGAGTCTTGCTGCATGCCGTCACTCCATTCTTGACTCGTGTTTCTCTTGTCTCTCCGTTTCTCAAGTCAACTCTCCTACCCTTTGACTAACACGAAGCAGCTGGATGCTGAGTGACTCCAGAGGGGTTTTTATGCAGAAACAATGCGGTAGTTTAAACACAGCATATGCAATATATTACAACATTACTAGGCCAGTTGAAACCTGCATAATCGGCCCATTATATGTGCGCTTTATAGGGCAATAAAAACAAGGCCTGTGTGGGAATTAACAGCTGACTTTTATATGAGAGGAAGGAGGAGCTACTGTACCAGAAATCTGGATTTTTATAGCTTCAGGCCACGTACTTTTGTTAAATTTATTCCTGGAGTTTCTTTTAATTCAGCTTCCAATGTTTGTTCCCCGTTTTACCTCGTAGCTCTGCTTCCTTCCAGGCTGCTGGCAGGCGGGCTCAGGAACATGCGGATGTGGCGGTAGCACTCTTAATTGTTTTCAGATCTACGGCCTGGATGATTTCTGCTAACAGCACGTACCGTATCTGGGGTTTTCATTTCTGATGACTCAGCATTTTAAGTAGGGGATTTCTGACGCACTTTGGATGGAAAGACTAAAAAAATATAAATCAGCTAGCTAGTTTACAACATTTCCAGTTCAGATTAGGTTTATTGGTGTCTGAACTCGACAATAGTCCTGGATTCGGGTCTGGGAGTGTTTCATAACCAGCTGAGGTATTGTTTATATTGGAAACAGCTTGTGGTGCAAGTTTGCCACATGTTAACGATCGGCTTTCAGCAAATGTGTATCAACCTCAAAAGCAAAAAACTGGGTGGAAAGAAATCTGCTGCAATCACTGGAGCTATTTCCCTCTTGACGTATTTATCTCAGTTTTCCATTTAGAAACTGTTAACACACATTTTTTCCACTTCAAGTTTGTGAAGTTTCTTTGTTTACATCTTGAATTCATTTCAGATCTTGTTTCTATTCTGCTGAGATGGAGTCGTTGCTGTATATTTAGCAGCTGAATGTTTTTTTTGGCTTTGTGAAACACCTCAGATAATTCATCAAGTTATTATAAAAAATGATAAATCTGCTTTTCAGATTAAATGAAAGGAAAAATATGGAATTGTAAACTAAAAACATCCTGTTTCTATTTTGTTGCAACCTTTTTATATCTTTTAGGACCTGGCTGAATAAAAAATACTAATGTAATGTTTTAGGGATGAATCAATTAATCAGGCTAAACGATTATTGCAATAATCATCAAATAATCTAGTAAATGTTCAATTGTTAACAGGAGCAGACTCAAAAATTCTGACAGTCAAAGCAGTAAGTCAGCAGTAAGTCAAAATTGTACAAAAATATAAATATTTTGCATTTAAAATATTTTTTTTTCCAAGTTGCAGTTTAAGCTTCGTCTTGCTCAAATTCTGTAAAAACAAAAAAATCCAATTTAAGCACTTTTTGCTGTCCAATTATGAGTTAATTAAAAATACTCAATAGTTTTTTTAATGTGTCCGTAATGGAAAAAAATACTGCCAAACTTCATTGAAAGTCGATTTGTTTACACACTTGTAAACAAATCTTTTCAGACTGAAAAACTTATCACGATGTGATCGTTTCATTTCAGTCGATATCAATAATTTTTTATTCGTTTTTTGTTTTAAATACCGTAAATGCTACCAAACTGATGGAGTGACCTTCACTCTTTCATCCAGTTTTCTCTCCATGGCTCTGTTTTTGATTTTTAAACATATGAGTCACAGTGAAAAAACCTTAAACAGCTGCTTTTCCAGTGGGTTGTTGCTAGGTAACCAAAGAATGTGAGTTGCTAGGTAACCAAAGAGTGAATCAGTTAGTTCAAGCCACCAAAGTTGCAGTGAGAGGTTGAGCAGCTAAAACATTTCCTCTGCCTACATCTCCCAGAATGCTGTGCAGTTTAGTGAATATTCTATCAGATA